GGGATCTAGAACTCAGAAGAAAACGAAAACTGACCTTTCCGACAATGCGAAAGTCATGAACTGTTTAGGGATTTCTTATAAAAAGACTTATCAGGGGATCGAGGCACGACCTCCCGTCCCCCAAATAATTCCAATTCTTTCGGATATTAAAGGTGCCTTGTCTGAAAGTGGGAATTTGTGAAATCCGGCAGCAGCGAGAACGCCCCGTTGTTTCAGAGAATTACCGGATTCATCGAACACCGCGCCTAATCAGATGCAAATTGATGCGGTTCCTTTCATTCTTTTTTCAATTCTTTATTCTTTAATTATGATAAGTGTTTCGTCTGATTTGGTTTGATTATTATTTTTTCGTACCTCGAATTTTCCACCTGAGTCATTCTTCTCGCCGTTTTTGCGACGCGCTCCGACAAACAACGATACCTCCGGTCGGACGCTCTCATTTCATTGACACCATCTCAAATGTCACCTTTCATTGAAAGTTTTTTGTCTCGAGCAGTTGAACTACATTTTACGAGGCGCGTTGTCTGCCTCATCCAAAAAACACTTATCTTTTTAGTAAAATCAATGGCACAAGTGTTGTTTTGTTTCTAAAACGAGCCGAAAGAAATTTAGCCTCTTTTTACGTAATGCAGTATCGTTTAATTTTGCTCAACTATGTAAGTTTTCGCACGAAAAAATCGGCAATCAGAATTGGAAAGGTTAATTACGTTCGATTTTCCTTTCTTCGAAAAATATTTTTAGTTTGCGGTTGGTACAAATACTGTATGAAAAAGAAGGAGCCAAGACGTACACTCCTTTCTATTAAAATAATTCTCGTTTTAATCGGAGAGATTTAGCTATATATCCTAAAAATGTTTGGACATGGTTACTTAGATCCTCCAGCCGTTCAGTTACTTTGTATAATCCATGTGCAACTGGACTTGAAAGTTTTCGCATATTTGTTTGTCCTTTTACGTGGTGTTTCACATACTTCAAAGCTTGCAAAAGTCGTTCATTACCAGGGAATGTTGCGTTGTGTATCCGTTCTAGAAATCCAGGCTCCAGGAAGCAACTATTCGAGCTCCACGGTAGGTTTTTGGCCTATACGATAGTTTGAAGGCGAACTATGCGACATCCAGACCCGAGGAAGCAACTATTCGAGCTTCGCTGTAGGTTTTTGGCCTACACGGCAATTTGAAGGCGGACGGTGCGGAGTTTACCTCTCGGCCCCATTCATGCATGCGATCGGAGTTTGGACGGTTAAAATTTTAAACATGAACACAAAGGGAAAATTTTTAAACCAAGCGATGGGATTCGAGGAAACTTTTTGGCGTTGAATAGCGACACCACAGCGAGGCGACATCGACATCAACCGAAGCGCCGAAAAAGCCACGAAGCGCACATAAAAATCGCGCCCACTTGTCAGCGGGTTGTCAATCGATTTGTTGAATCGATGATTTCGAATCTCGGTTCCAACGCGAGGTTTTATCACCTGGCTAGGAGTAGAGGGAGGGGGGGGTATAAAACCCGTCGCCAAGATCCAAGCGCGATCGGAGCGGGGAGATGAGGCCGCGATAAGGGGGTGGGGGTTCGGGGGGTCGGGAAGGAGACGACTCCTGCGGTTTCGCGACCATTAAAATCCTCCGCTGCCGACGGGAAAATTGTGAGCACTGCAATTTGTTGGAGGACCGTAATTTGGCCGTAATGAAACCGTCTGTCGCCTGCGAGTGCCGGACGCTCGCGCGAGTAAACGCCGTATGAGCATTCCCGCGTTGCCATTTCTGCTTCAAATTATACCATTCTCTTGGAAGCATCTTGTACATCTTCTTTGTAAATTGCTCAGAGGACTTAATTCACATCTGGACTGCATTTTGCAATAATTACCTATTGTTTTTGGTTCATCCTTTAAAGTATCTATCCTGTTAGAAAAAATTAAAGTAGGGCGAAAAAGGGAACAAGAAGCGAAAGAACGAAACAAACGAACTGGAAGGCAAAGCGGAAATAGAAAGGACAATGAAGAAAGAAAAGGATGGGAAAAAAAGAAAATTATGGAACTTATGGGGAAGTAGGAAAAAGAAGAAGAATAAGGAGAAGAGGAAGAGAAGTACGATGGAGAACTAGAGGGAAAAAGAGAACCATTCACAGAAGAGGTAGAAAGAGAGGAAACGAGTAAAATATGAAGAGGAAAAATAAATGACGCAGTGAAATGAAGGAGGAGGGGTAGAAGTGGGAGGTAACGAAGAATTAGAAGAGGTACTTGTCTGCATGTGTCCTTTTAGAGCACACGCGTCATTTCTGAAACGACCCTGAAAGCATTAGTGCCATATAGCATAGCGTAGTCTTATGTGGTCCACGGGAACTGAGACACCTAGAAAAGTATTAATCCCTTTTTCCCGAAAATGAATATTTCATCGGGAGAAATCTGACAAGTTTTAAGCGCTTAAGGCGATCTTTTTAGCACGACAGTGTACGACCGCACACCCACATTTGCGGGTTATGCGTGTTGGGCGCGCGGCGAGAGCCGTGTTATGCTCCTGTTAATGATGATGTCAAAATGGGAAATGTCGCACCGGCCCCGGTGACTTTTATTCTGTCGTCTTGGGTCTGGCGCGTCGTGTCGTCGTGTGATGTGCCCATGTTCTGCGGATTAGTTGCCGCGCGTAATGATAGTCATTACCGGCTCCGCACAACATTTACTTAATTGTACTGGCATGCCAACCGGCAATATCCCAGCATCGTAAGCTCCGCCAGGGAGCTTTCTACCCCTTCGCCGATTTTCGCCCTACGCTTTTCCCCAGCGATTTTTTCACCCCGGTGGAAGTCCAATTCGGAGGTCAATGTTGCTTCTCGCCGAATGATGATTCATGAAAAACTTGTTGAGCAAAATATCGAATAAAATTCGCCTGATGACTCGTGAAGTCAGACTGAGCGATCTATTAAGCGAGTTTTTTATAAAAGGGATTCGGATTGCTGAACCAATTCGTCGTGTCCCAGACGAAGAAACATAACTCCACTGTAAGGTTGCAAAATTTGCCCGAACCATTTGCTTTCTTGAATTATCGTTGTTATTGCTATTGTTGTCCAAAATTTGGCTGATTATTGCAATGATTCAGAAAAGAAATCCGTATAATATTCGGTAAAAAATTCTCAAGATTCTCCTTGTAGAAATAATATTTACGAGGGGAATTTGGCAACATTGGAATGAAGTTACGCTCTTTTGAGAGGGAATTGACGAATTATTGCTTCTTCGTCATCAGTCATCGTTAGCCGCGGTTATCCAGGATTGCGTGAAAGGTCTAAGAAAATATATGAGGATAGCGCGAAAAAGGCACAAGGATCGCGCGAATTTAAAATGAAGTTTATGTTTAAGGTAGAAGTTTGGCAAACGAGACAACGTCGGAATGCACATACGACGTCAAAATACAACATGGACCTTATATTTTCGGCCTCTATAATTCGATGCCGCAATTATTCTAACGCGAGTTCGAATAATCGCGCCGAACACAGCGTGACTGGCGTCAAACGTATATTAGCGCCTGCAAGACTTTTGGAATACTTCACGCATTGCGCTAAACAGTGCGGTCGGAGTAGAACAGTCGGAACAGTGCGGCCCTTCTTAGCGCCTACAAGACGACATGCATACTTCTCGCATTGCGCCAGACGCAGCGCGGTTAGTCATCAGTTTGCGTGATTTCACGCAAACTGATTTTCTTCCTGGCGCATATTAGCGCCTGCAAGATTGTAGGAGTGCGTGTCATCATTCTTAACTTTCTGCTCCAGATTTTATCATAATTAAAAGAAATATATGTATCCTCATTGAATTGATTCAGAAAATCGGCTGATATTTAAACTTGTTTTGATTACATTAATAAAAGAAAATAGAACGAACGAAAATATAGAAAATTCAAGCAATCTTATGCGTCTGCAAAAAGGTAAGAAAGGGGGCATTCGCGCAATCCTATCGCAGCCGTTAGCCGAATCTGAGCGTGCGAATCTCGTCAAAAGTAACTTTTACACGTTAGGAAAGATATCAGTACTGGGTCTGTGAAATATATTGTCTGTGGGCATTAGATCGATCAGATAATGCCCTTATTTCAAATCCTTTAATTTCTCTCGGAATTCCTCTCGTGCTCATTGGTTTCGCTCGCAACAAGCGGGCGGCAGGCGATCGCGATCCGCACTTGCAAGGCATCCCACAACCGCCACGACTGGCGCCTCGACGGCCGTCAACGTCGCGCACTCCACGCTGGACGTCCATCAAAAAAGAAGAAAAAAAAACCGAGGAAAATAGCGAAATTCGCGAGACTATACTTTTTGCAAATATTTCGCAATTACAATGCACCGGTATTAATTAAAGGTACGGCGCGAGGCTGGACAGATAACGGGTATCGTTGTTGCCGTAATCCCGCAAAAATTCCCTACATTCCGATTGCTTTTACCACTGATTTGGGTAAATTTAGCAACGGTGTTTCATATCCGATGCCAAAACGACACCGCACCACATGGCAGGGTTGTCGCTTTTTCTGGATGATCGTCCGTTTTTCTACTGAAAAATACGCAATGGCAGCGTTATTTGGCAATGTCACCAAAAGTATTTGGATTCATTCCACCCGCAGACCATCCAGAATCGTCATCAGTGCGATGGCCATCTATGGGCATCTCTGCCGTCCCAAGAAAAATCGCTGATCAACATAGGATTTTAATTTGCAGTTGTGCGATTTCTACTTACCTCGGGTTTCAAGCTCGGGTGACCATGTCATGATCTGATAGAGCACGATTATTCTCTGCTGATGTAAGAGCTTTGATTTTCATAAGTTATGTGTAGGATTAGATTTTCTTCTTCTTTTTTTCTACAGAATATATATGATTTCTACAAGAATGATATAATCATGATCAATTCTGGATTAAATCTGTTCAAAATTCTAGGTTCTGCATAAAAAACCAAAGCTTTTGTATTACCATGTCGGTCCACACAATTCCGCATATATCTAACCTTAAGTTTTGTTTTCGTTTTGTTTCAGACTATTCTCAATTCAATGCACAAATATCAACCTAGGTTTCATTTGGTACGAGCAAATGATATTCTCAAATTACCTTATTCAACGTTCCGGACGTATGTCTTCAAAGAGACGGAGTTCATAGCAGTCACCGCTTACCAAAACGAAAAAGTATGTACATGCTTCCTTTTTTAAAGCGCTTAACAATTGATTTCATGTGCATTTTTTACTTCTGATTCCAGAGAGGACGTCATAATAATAGTTCAATGTATGACGCAAAAATCATTTATTGTCATTTTTTAAACTCCTATTTAAAATCTTTTATTATGCATATCTTCATTTAAGAAAAATTTTAGTACAAAATTGGTTTGAAAGTTCCATTTTACATGGCTCCTGATTGCTTCTTATTTGATCCTTGAAAAATGACAACTCTTTTTGTTTGTAGTGACTAACCCGCACCGTCGCTTTGGTAGCTGAATTCATTTTAACTCTAGCACTATACAAAGAACTATGCATTTCAATTGAGTTTAAAAAGTGAACATGTTCAGAAACGTACAAGCAGAATTGGATGGAGGCATCACCTTTTCAATAGTTAACCATCTATCCCTTGGAAATTCCTCACCATTTATTTGACGCTTTTATATACTTTGAAACTCTTACACAGCAACATTAACAATGACGGGAAAATATATTTTTAATTTTAACACGTTCTCATTTAATCTAAATAAAATTCAACTAACTGCGTCAATAGTTATTGTGTAGATTCCATAATTTTTAAATGTATGTTTTCTCTTTTCAGATTACGCAATTAAAAATTGATAATAACCCTTTTGCGAAAGGTTTCCGGGATACTGGCGCAGGAAAGAGGGAGAAAAAGTAAGTAACCCCTAAATTAACAATTTTTAATCCTTTAAAAATTGCATTTTCAGCTCCTTTTTTTTCGGCCCAGGTTTTTCGCCATCTCTACAAAAGCTTCAGAAATATTTTGCTAAATATTTCACTCAGTTGGGTGCAGAATGAGAGGTCTTCAATCTCTGCTTCTGAATGAACGAAAAGTAAACGTGATACTCGTTGGAGGAATTGCAACAATCGCTATTGAGAGACAGAGTATTATGCCTTTTGTAGAAGATTTATCATTTTCAGAGCTTGACCTTGGTTTTTCAATGATCAGGCAAACAATCAGAGTGTGATAATGATTCCAGTAAAGCACCAGCCACAAATCCCACTTACCTTTTTACGTACGGGTGTGGGTGTGTATATGTCAACGCAAATATATTCAACCGATATTTCAGCCAATCGAAACCGATTGTCACGAAACGGATTCGTGCTTTTTTACGGATTCAAGTCGTGAGGGAAATTCAATAGACTTAAGTTGACCTCCAAAGACTTCGACTATGACCTACTTTTTTCGTGACCTTTTTGACAAATTATAATTTTTCAGGTCATAAAACACTTTTTTAGTTTGACCGTTGCAAACGGAACGCACACTTCTGTGTATTCTCTTCAACTTGGAATAAGCTAAATTGAAGTTTTAGATGAAAGGTGCAAGTCGGAATTCTTGAATGCAGAAATGAACCTTTCTCAACATTTCAAAACTTGGCAGTGGACTTGTGCTGTTGTGTCGTTTTGACTACAATCGATATCATGCTTTTTCTAAGGTGTTACAAATGAGAACCATTTGCTTTTGACATCTTCGCAAATGTGTCCCAGTGATCGACATCATGAACGCAAGTTAAAAGTCTCATCGCACCTACAGTATCTCTTTAATAGAAACTGCAATTTTAACACAGTTGAAGCGCACTGGTCCCTCTTAAGTATTCTCGAGCCTCAGGCCCGTTAATAACCTGCTTACAACTCCTTCTTTTCGGTTGGATTATTCATCATTCTACCCTCAGTGCCGCATTCGATTCCGCTGTTTAAAAATTCGCGCTGTAGCGACGAGACAGAACCGCCAAGCTTACGGGAAACGTTGTATGAAAACTATGGCAGTGCCAAATTTTCTCTGTAAAACACACATTTTCTGGAAAATTTGTGAGGTTCTTTTTCCAAATTTTTAAAGAATTTTACTTGCAAATTAGTAAAATTTGTCTTGGAATTTCGGGAAAAGGTATTTATAACTTTTCTTGGAAATAAATATTTTATCAGCATTAATTTAGCCATATTCAAATGCTCTTGTAGCGTGTTTACTCGGCACTAAAGATAGAGCTTCGTCGCGTTAAGGAACAAATCTTCATGTGCTTTGAAAGTTGCCAAATCGACGCCAGTAAAATATCCATGTTGGAAAAAACTTATGAATATTTTGCCTCAAAATTTTTACATACACCAGATTTGATGTACAGATAGATTGAATAAGATTCTGTTGGAAAAACTCAAAGAAATTTCAGGGAAATATTCGAGATAACTAAGTTTTAATCGGCGGAAATTTGGCAATATTCAAATCTGCATACGACGTTTTTCCTCATAAATAAGTCAGGAGGGTGACGAAGCGGGGTTGGAGGCGGGCTCCAAGGAGGTAGGCCGCGAAGAAAGGCGAAAGGCGAAAAGGGGCTCCAATGGAATATTTAAAGAGCGAGACACATGTGCATAGCCCGTCGCAAACAATTCGCGTCTTAAGCCGCTCGCTTGAAAAAGTCCTCCCCCCCCCCGCCCCATCCCCAAGACCCCCTTCACCCTCCCATCACCTTCGAGTTGTCGTGTTTCCGTTTTCCGCTTTAACGCGTTAAATGTTGAAGCGCGTCGGCGCCTGATCTGCCCGGAAAATCGCCGCTTTTCCAGCGATGGAGAATTTGACACTTTCGTGAATTCACCCATTTGGATAGGGAGATCAGTGGTCGACATGCCGTTTCTGAAATAACTAACAAAAGTTAGTTCCTCTCCGCTCAACGCAGTCCAAGTTTCCTTTCGCTCTGTGAAAAAGGATCTGTGGTTCGTCGACGATCCATTGGTGCCATTGATAATGTAATTTTAGAATATCTACTAGGTTTAGAGGTTTTGGTGGGTTTATCAGGATTGAAAGCATTTTTTAAGATTAATTTAAGCAAAACGCTGTTTTAATCTGTGTCTGCGTAAACGATTGGAATTACAGAGGTGTCAATGAAATTCCTTTACTACGGCAATTTTTCTCGGCAATTCATTCGAGAATTGCTCCCTGAGGATCAGGACCGGATTAAGGGGGTTTGTAATTAAATGTAGGTATAAAAAAAATCGGATCTAGAAAAAAAAATACAAACGAAAAAAGCCTACAAAACCTCTCATTTCCTGAGAGTATAGTAATTTCTAATTTTGTCGTCTTTCAGTGATACAAGAGACATCACCTTTAATTAGTCGAGTTAAGAGAGAAACCAAACACACAATTTGGCCTGGAACGGCGCGACTCAGGGAGAAATGATGACGAGGACTTGAGATGATAAGGAGAAGCCCTCGGCGCGGCAATCGGCATGTAACACATATTAGCGCCTACAAGACTGCACGAATACTTCACGCATTGCATCAAACACAGTGCGGTTATCGTGGTCAGCGTGAAACGGATAGCGCCTACAAGAATGCATGAATACTTCACGCATTGCGCCAAACACAGTGCGGTCAGCGTGAAACGCATAGCGCCTACAAGACTGCGTGAATACTTCACGCATTGCGCCAAGCACGGTGCGGTTGGCGCGGCGCTGCGGCGGAAGTTAAAATCATTAAACCAAATTTTGTGTTTGTTCTATCATAATTTTTTCGTTCATTTATTATGAATGGAAGGCCTTGTCCATTAGAGATAGGTTTACGAAACTTGACTTTCGCGCAAAGTTCCGTGACCTTTTGCTAGTAGTGTTGACAGGGCTTTCCCTAAAAATGTGTTCAACACGAGTAAACGCGTCTCATGCACCCCTCCTCCGCTGGCACGTTCACTTGATGGTTTTTATTGATTTTTCAAAACGAATGAGAAGGGGGCGGAAAATACAGGGGGCCCATGGGCGGCAAGTAGGAAAATCCGGCCCTGTTGAGGATCTGGCAACTATACCGACAGCCAAGTTAAGCGTTTACAACTCAGCTTTTGTTGCTTTGCTCTTATTGCGTAAGAACTCTGCCGCCTCGAAAGACCCGTTTTTATTTCCCTCGCTTTTTCCTCAAAGCGTAGAGGAGAATGAATGTCTTTTGGTGGCAGAATTCATCGCAAACATAGATCGTGTCACAGGCAAATAAGACATTTTGTGTCATCTTCCTAGGCTGATATTTAAATTTGGAAAACGCATAGCACGCCCAAATATTTTTTTTTTTTATCAACAGGTCTCAATATTTAGGAATTCTGAAAGGATCAAATGATCAAACTGCCTTTTTCAACTTTTGTTCTTAACGCTTACCTTATTTTCAATATTCAATGACTAGTATTGCAGGAGTGATCAAGAGACGAAGGTTCATAATAGGTGATGAATATTCTTAAAAAGATAATAAAAATGAGTCAACAGTTTGTGACTCCTCTGAAGCAAAAGGCGTTTCTTGATTCCCACATGAGCCCCAGAAAGCATAGATTTTCACGTGGACTCACGTGGAAAATTGGGATACGCTTTTACTCTAGCGGAGCGACGAATGTACAGAGGGTTTTTTCAGCATATTCTGGTAATTTTACCGTTGAATTTGGCAAAAAAACTCGGAATCCATAGTCATATTTGGATCATGGAGTTATAGAAATGGAAACACATCAACACTTACGTTTATTTCAAAGACATAATAATCCTTTGTCTTAGGCTCGGCGTTTGAAAGCTCTCTCCCGGCGAAGCACAGTAAATCGAGTCAATAGGAGAGATCGGACAAAATTTGGAAACGTAAAAAACGCTCATAACTCCGTTTACACAGAACTTGAATGTTCTAAAAGGGGTTATATTGGTTTCCTCGAAAAATGTTTTTTTAGATACACCCCTTAAAATTTAAAATGTGACAACTCAAACATGAAACTTTGGAAATTTCGTTGAAAATGCCATGTGCGACCTCTTTGATTGGCTCGATTTACTGTGCTTCGGTGAGGAGTCGTAGTCGAGGTTGTCGGTTGTCGTGAAAAACCCAGGAAAATATGTAAAATGGGGAAAATAAACTGTGTGGCGTGTGGGGCGGGGTGGAGGTGCGGTTGGAGGGGGGGCGGGGGAGTGAGACAAGAAGATTTCCAACACTTGACAATAGAAGCTGCGGCGGTGTGGCGTGGTGGAGCGGCGGTTCATTAATTCAAAGCTTATTAGAGGGCTGTGACCTCCTTAAGCGCCTTCGCCTTCTCGCGCGGCAATATCAACTTTCTTTCCTTTTCTTCCCCAAGCGGCCCGAGCGGCACAGCTCCACCCTCCAATTTCCCGCCTTTGAGCTCTCCCCCGAGGAGCAATCCAAGTCCTGTGCCTCCGCCCGCGCCCGCGCCGCACAGTGGATCCAGTCAATCGGAGAAGATGGACAAAATTTGGAAACTTTAAACGCTTATAACTCAGTTTGTACAAAACTTTGAGCTTCTAAAAGTGATTTCATTGCTTTCCTCCAAATTTTCCTCCTTATGGACCCTTCAAAATTTAAAATGTGACGAAATAAACACCAAAATTTGTAGCTTTAGTCAAAAAGTTCATGCCCGATCTTTCTGATTGACTCGATTTACTGTGCGCCGATCCCGGTGTGAGTCTGCCTCTTAGTCGCACGGTGAGACAGAATTCCACAAAGTATAACAGCTTTAGATTTTGAAATTATTTTCTTGAAATAGTTTTTTGAACACCTATTCTGAAATAAAAGAGAGGAAACTTTTATTACTGAGCCACCACATTATCGAGTTTTCAGCAATTTTAATAATATTGACACTACACAGTCTTTTTTTTTTGGAAAACTATGAATACAGTTTCCAAAAAAAAGTCTACCAAAAATACGAGAAATGCCCACCGTGCGGTGAATCTCGACCGGGTGCTTTTCACTCGTTTCCGTAAATTTTCACCACCTTCTTTTTGTATCCGGCTTAATTTTCGCCCATTTCCGCTGACTCCAGACCTTGGCGCCCCCTCCCCGCCCCCCGCCCTCACCCCTACCCTCTTTGAGACTCTGACTTCTTCATCCGTCTGATCAAAATTCTCCTCAAGTATGGCTCCGATACCGCGCTAAGATCCGCTATTCCTTTCATTGCCCCCCTCTAGCCTTCACAGAAGCGTCTTAAGCCCTCGTCCTTCTTTTCAGACATTTTCTTTCGATTACTTGCAAAGGAGTGGGCTCCAGGAATTGAGACTTTTGTCGACTTTATTGATGTCAATACGACGAAATTCAACGAGTTAATTGGGAGGAAAAGGAAATTTGAGGTGGTTTAAGATTATAAGTGAATTTTTGCGTATATCTCGTTTAAAGTTTCATCTATTTTCTGACCTCTAAAATGCCGCCAGCCGAGACAAGTATGGGAATTTGAAAGGAAGGAAAAAGAAGTATTTTTGAAATTTTCTGTGAATATTTTCGAATGAATGAAAGCATTTCACAGACAATTTCAAGGAAAACTGTAGGTTTGGTTTTCTATAAGAAAAAAATAATAAATTTAAGAAAAAATAATATTGGAGCGAAGCTGTGCATGGTCACCATCGGAATTTCATATTTCTTGACTTCAGCCATCGAAATCCCTCACTCAGGTTCAAATTTTTACCCGTCAGACAATTTCAACTGGGTGCTAATATTTGCTTAGTTTCGCAATTAAACTACGATTAAGAAGCAAATGAGATAATAAAATGAAAAATAAAACCCGCCATGAGGAAATGAACGAATATTTGCTTAAATAGTAGCTGACCAAAGTAAAATGATAAACGCAGATCGATTTTTTTGACGATAGATCACTTTTTAATGACAAAATTCACAAAGAAAGGTAGGAAACGGGAGAAAATTACCTTCGGGTGAATAAATTAAACAAACGCGAGAATTTGGAAACGATTCAGCTCTGAATTCGTCATCTTACACCGTGTGATTTTGCTGTTTCGATCACTCATCGTTAAAATAAACGATCTCATATTGGTGTTGGTTTTGGCTTCGCAACTATTCAGAAGGGTTTTTACGAGGAGATTAGGACAATTTCGCAGTGCTTCATCGCGATTAAATGCTCCCTCCTCAGATGATTGATCAGCGAGCCATTTTCCTGGTTGCTTGTGCCGTTATGTCCTCTTCATCCTCCTCATCATCTTTTCTGTAATGCGATATTTATATTTACCTAAGCAGGTTTCGTTTCCCTTCGCCTGGTGACAAGCTCAACGCTGTCATGCTTTCAACACCTCATCTATCAAAGATCAGATTTTTTGGACGGAAAAAATTAATTTCTTAAAAAATATCGCCAGACTTTAGAATGTGACTTCGGGTAATTTGTCCGCGTCGGATGTTTGCGAGATGAATCATTTTTCAGGCTTTTCGAGGTTGCAAATTTTTCATCAGAAGGAAGTATCACACGACATTCTCTCGCAAATGTGCAACAAGCTGACTTAATAAGATTTGAATATGTTTATATTTCCTCCACTTTTAGCAGGTCTCGAGAAGGTGGCTCCAATAACAGTCCATACGCTAAAACCTTATTTTATACAAATACAAATAATTCATAAATCTGTTTGCAATTCCTCTTCGACAACGATTGAAACTATGAGAATGCAAAAACAACTACTTCATTGTCTCAAAAATGTAACAAGCTATTGACAATTTTTTAAACCTCAAAGAACTTTTCTAAAAACAAGGTTTTTGCGCATGCGCTTTTTTTTGCAGTCGCCACCTCAATATACCGCATCAATTTTGATTTCCCTCTCAAAATTGGTTTAAAGCAGCAAAAATTCCTTTATTTGTTTGTCATTTCTTTTTTTGCGATTTTAATATTAATCGCTTGAAACTATGTTTCTTTTGTCAACAGACAAGCTCTTCTGGCAGCGCAAAAACATGGAAGTAGTGAAGGAAAACGGTCGACCGATCCCAATCGAGGGGATCCGGACGATGACAAGCTTTTAGACGTCGTCGGTACCTCGGATACCCCCTTACATCCCCTTCATCCTCACCATACAGGTAAATATATATCTCCGTCAACAACAATTATTCAGTTTCATACACTAGATGCAAAATACACAAGGCATCATTAGAGGCGCAGACTTTACTTTACAAAAATATCTCATCTCAATGACTTTGGAGTAACTGTAGGAACTTTTATTCTAGATGAAAGTCATCTTGAAAGCAGAAAAGAAATTATTTGAAGAAATATTGCTGGGTCCTACTTTTGCAGGACTGGTCCTCACCGGAGGCTAATTTACTCCATTTTCATCTTCCAGCGGACCGATTATTGAAATTTATATAGACAAGGCTATAGACAAAGAAGACATAGGGAGTATGGAGCTATTATATTTCTTGAAATGGGTGGTTCCTATTGACTAAGGGAGAAAATGATGGACTAGCTATAGGGTCTCTAGTGGGTTGCCGTTAGTTAGTCTATTACCTACCTCCTTTGTCCATTGCAACCACCCGCTTCCAACGATAGGATCCCTCCATATCTCTTTTGTATTCTTTGTCTATAGTTTTGTCTATCAATTTCAATAATTAGCCCGCAGTTAGAGTATAGTTCACCAAAATCGATTTTCCGGAAGCTAATCGGAGGTGGCTTAACTTTTTGCAGACTCACTGGTTGCCGAGGAAGCCATGCGTCGCCGGTTAGCGTCAGTGCAATATCACCCTCTCCACCCGCTACCTCACCCCCTTCAGGCACCCCCCTCGGGGGCGTCGATGCCCGGTCAAGACATGGACAGCGAGCCGGAGAGCAGTTGTTCCGAGTCTGGACCCAGCTTCAGGCCCGCCGCCACCTCACCCTCCGATAAGGACAGCGGCCAAGCTCCTGGACCTTCTGGTGAGTGCAACCAACTTTCGCTCCTCATCCCTTCTTCTATCTTCTATGCTTGGATGTGAAGAATGAATTCCCACCAATAGTGATCTGCACAGTTCAGTGGGCTAATTACTACAATTATTGAGAGACAAAGCTATAGACAAAGGAGACGAAGGAAAAATAGAGCGATCCTATTGGTAGAGGCGGGTGTATGCAATAAACCAATGAAGTAAATGACAGACTAACTTAAGATAGTAGCTGTTTTTGAAATCTTTGCTAATTTCATTTCCAGATTTCTTGCCTACATTCCTTCTGTCATTTCCTGCCGTACCCTTATTAGCTCCCTAGTCCATTCCAGCGCATAATCTTTACAGCCGGTTAAAATTTAATATTTTGGCCCGTTTTTATACCCCTGCGGCACAAAACCGGGACCCAGTCAGGTATGGATTCCACATGACTTTACTCCGGGTATAAAGGGACTCTAGTATATTGCCAACAAAATCTGGGAAAACTCATGCGAGCCATACGGGCTCTCTACTCTGAAACTCAAGAAATAAAAATTACGGAGCAAGCTCATTTGGATTAGAATTTCCTCAGGTAGTCTCCTCTTATCTTTGATTTTTTTTTTCAATTCGATTTTCCACCCCTCCTCCTGACCGGTGGATAAAAATCCGGCGTCAGATTCCTGGTGCCTAGGTGGCGATTGTGTCGCGCTCTGTTGGGTGCTTGGCAAGCGGCTCGGCCGTAAAACGACGACAAGCGATTTGGTCGGGAATGATGTGGCTGCTCGAAGCGCCACGCGGATATCGAAACGGGCCGTTTGTGCATGTTTTTAATAGTCCCGGTTGATGCGAGCCTCCATTTAATTTGACTCCATCGGTCGTCGCCGTATTCGCCAGGTGACGTCTGTGTGATTAATGACCAGCTCCGAGACCTATTCGCAGATCCTACTGCCTCATCGTGTCAATCAATAGTGACGGAAATTCACCCGCCAATCGTCTGTTGCCGTCTTGCCCTCCCAAACTCCTTGTCAACCTCGTGTATTTTTACTATGGAGATTTTATTCCGAGACCAATAGAGGCCCAACCATGTTAACAGCGGGCTGATTTTTTAAATAAACGATAAGCAAAAGATGCGAAGGGAAAATGGAGCTTGACGGAAGCGGGTGGTTGCAATGGACACATCGTCGCGCCACAATAAACGCAACTTCATTCCAAGTTTGGAAATTTGGACTTATTTCTATCAAGCGGAACTATGTGCATTAAGATAAGAGCCCTGAGACCCATAAGAATACATGCATAATGGGACTCACGTCATAATGCACATGGTTCCGTTTGACAGAAATGCGTCCAATCGACTCACGCAATTCAATTTTTAACAAGAATGCACTCGCGCATTTCTCTTCCACAATTTTTCTGATCATTGCACGAGAAAATAAGAGAAATCTGGGAAATTCTCTATTAGAATTGTTTTAGAGTCTCCCTGGGAAAATGCAATTTACGGGTGAAAATTTAGCAACATTGAAATGTAGTCTCTTTCTTTCGTGAAGGAAACGATGACATAAGGTAAGCAATTGATTAAATAACGGCAATTCTTGAGAGACCCCGTAGTTCGTCCATCGTTCTCCATCATAGTATACGAGGCCCTCTTGTTTCAATCTATAGGATTGCTCCATTTTCCCTTCGCCTCCTTCTCCATCGGTTTGTCTATTAATTAAAACAATGATCCTGTAGTTAGGAATCGTCAAAAGTTACCGGAAGTTCCCTCCCATCGTAAGTCACCAAAATTTGTCTGCGTCACAAGGGTCTCCATAGGGCCATACTCTATGGATACAGATACTCGATGTCGAAGTTAGGTGGTGATTTTCCGGCGAGATGAGCGTTTATGGCAGGAGTTGGGTCTGGTGGATGATCTGAGAATCTGGCAACAGAGTGGTGGACAGGACACGACGTCGACGGTCCGGGTTGGCGCCGCTCGCCGCGCTGCCCTCGCCCTCGTATGAGTCCGGCTCAGAAATTTATGACTCCGGCCAATGTATTTATGGTGTGTACGGCACCGGGCGCACTGGGCACCAAGCGACATTTTATGAACTGACGAATGTATGATCGCTCCCGCTCCCCGCGCCCGCTCCCAGGCGCCCAGCAATTTCCCACCGCGGGGACGCCAGCTTCACCCGGGCACCGGCACCTCCCGCCACGGGAAAAAATCCCGGCCACATCGCTTCACAACTCAGTTTTTTCCACTCGGAGATTACAAAAATTTCGCAAATGGCTCTCCTCGCATTCAGAATACATTTGCAGAGAGAGTATGGCGTACGAACTGATTATTGAAATTGATAGACGGAGCTATAGACAAAGGGCACTTATTGGTTGAGGCGGGTGGTTCTTATAGCCTAAGGGAGGAATATATGTTCTGACAACACGGAGGAAAAAACCTCGTGCGTGGGACCCGAAGTTTCGGTCATATGGATCTCTGAAGTTTTCAGATTGAGTATCTGAACACTCAAGGTCTAGCTATCGAGGTTCGGATCACACATTTGAAACTTAAGTTCTTACATCTGAAGTACTTCAGATGTGAGAACCGAAGTTTTTCTAATGTGAGAACCGAAGATTTTCAGATGTGAAAACCGAAGTACTTCAGATATAAGAGCTGAAGTTTCAGATGTGTGATCCAAACCTCAGCAGCTGGACCTTAAGTGTTGGGATGCTCCATCCGAAAACTTCATAGATCCATATGACCTAAACTTCGGGTCCCACGCACGAAGTTTTTTTCTCCGTTTATAGGGTCTCTTGTGCGGGATGCCGTTAGTCAGTCTGTTATTTACCTCCTCTGTACTCGTTTTCACTAATGGAATGGAACAACTCTATTTCCCACCAGTCTTCATCTTTCTATCACTTTGTCTATCAGTATTAATAGTCAGCCCGCTAAAGTAGATCTTCTAGTAGTCAAACTCTCCCTCTCAGTGCTTTCTACCTATAGGGTGATCTAAAAGTCTCAGCATTAGATATTAATCTGTAACTTTTACACAGATTAAGATAAAACTTGGAATCTTGCGAAAGTTCCGGGGTCAAAGCAAAAAGCTATTAGTATCTACCAAAATTTCAAGGAGATCCTTCTGAAAAGGAGCGCGAGGTGGTGCAGGACTTTTGAATGAGCCTGTATAAAGTTATTCTTCTATACCAAGGTGAAAATTCGTTTTTTGTTCGGATGCGTACGGTAGTGGGAAAGAAAATAAGTGTATCCATGGAGGGATTGGAGAGCCGGCAGCGAGGTGGTGGTGCACAAATTGGTGCGGATTCCGGGGGATTCGCGGACAGATCCACTGGGTCCCGGGCGCCCGGCGCCGCCTGAGCGGCCCGATCAATGCGCACACCTCGCAGCTCAGCAGCCACCGCATCGCCGCGCCGCATCGCCATAGGAGTGACCAACCCGAACGCGTGCCCTCCACCGCCGTACAGTTATCATCCATTTCCATCATCTGACCAAAACGAACCTCATCCTACAGCAATAGCGGGCTCATTGGTGAAATTGATAGACAAAGCTATAGACAAGGAAGACGAAAAGGAAATACAACGAGTGGGAAAGGAATCAAGTAAAACGACTTACCAACGGCAACCGACGCTGAACCCTATGGTCAGTCCATCATTTTTCCCCTCAGACTATAAGAACCACTCGTTTCAACCAGTAGGATCGCTCCATTTGTCTGGCGTCTTCTTTGTCTATTAATTTCGATAATCGATTTCAACTGCGTTAATCGTGGTTTCTCTGCTAGCGAGAAGTTTGAATTTACTAATTACAAAACTACAAACGTTGATTCCTAAAAATAAAAGAGGAGGAAATTAAAAGATGGGTAAACAAGGCTAAAACAATAAAAACCCTTCAATGTAGGACTTTTCGAGGTGTTACCAGCTCATTTTCAGCTGCAAAAAAAACACAAAAAAGTAAATAAAAAATTGAGTGGCGACTTGATGTTGGTGTTGTGTTTTTAAAGTTTTCGCCTCTAACAAGCAGTAGCGTGGCATGCCTTGCGATAAATCGATGATTAGCCATTTAAAGCCATGGGAAAGGATCGATAAACAGGGTGTTTGCAATAACGAACACCTCAATAATTGATTCTTTACCACAACTTAAAATGGGAAAATATCGATTATCGATCATTCACACTTCACCACCGCTAACAAGGCTTGAAATCGAAAAAAATGCCTTGAAGAATAGGCTGTAGTAAGTGTTTAAAAAACTTCTTACTCCAACTGCCAAAGTATGGCACGAGTTTTGCCCATTGTGCGCAGCAACTACTCCTGGGTCCAGTCAGTCCAGTAGACAGATAGTGTACGCTGATACTGTTGGTTTTATCGTGATTAAAATGTAAATTGTTACATATTATGCGTATCTCTCACGAGACCAATCTCTTTCTCACTCAGACCCCATTTTTCTCTCTTTCGCACTCCTTCCTTTTGCCCTGTTTTGGCACCCTTTACTTTTTTGCCATTTACAGTTCGGGGAAATCTTGTTTTCCTTCTTTTTTCCTCTCTTCTCTGCGAGTAAAAAAAAACACATACACATTTTTCATGCTCATTTCGATCCTCTAAACTGATACAAAAGTAGATGCATGTTGAAAGGTCATCCACGGGTTTAATGTCTATTATTCTTGAATTTTTTTTTCCAACAATTCTTCCAACAACTTCACATCAAGTTCAAATGAATATTTCTATTGATACAATAAAATACTTTCCAAAAATAATATTTTTAAAGATCTGTGTAAACTACCATTTGCGTTTTATATACCTCTTTTGAATCTAGCTAAATTTAGAGTCGTTGAACAGAGAATGCATTAATTGTTATAATACTAAAATATTTACCAGGTTTTTAAATCTTAACATATATCGTTTAAAAAATAAACCGTCAGTCCTCACGTCAAATTTACAATAACTCACTTTCAAACTTTCCCTATCTAAAACTAGATATCTCCCGCACTTCATTCTTTTCCGTTGTGGACAAATTTAAAGAATAAAGTAACACCATAACAAAAAAAGTGGAATCAAGTATTTTCGCTAATCTTAAAATGCTGCATATTAATATCAACATTTTTCGGTAAAACTTCGAGGAAAGTTTAGCACAAACATGCTGACTTAATTTTACAATTTTTTTAGAAATCTAACCGTGAGTGATAAACTCACCTAAAGAATTTGGTTATTTGGCTACTATCATCTTGGAATCAATTTCACAGAAATTGTTTTCATCAAATCAAGTTTCATCTAAACCCTGAAGCTTCCCCGAGGAAGAAGAAAAGAAGAAGAGGATGACAGGATGATAAGCTAAGGATGTTGATGGATCTCAAGAGAAAGGGGCGGGAGAGGAGAGCATGAAGAAGGGGGGGGGGGGTTNGTGCTGGAAGGGAGGGAAAAATAAATTGTCAAATAAAAATGCAGTTGCGGGTTTCACAATGCGGCTCTTGGGGCCCAAGTGCAAGGAATTAATGAGGGAATCGTCTCATAAATATTGAAAAACTAACTGGGCAGGATTCCTGAAAAGTGCCTTTCCAAAATATCAGGCCGTTCTCCCGGCACCCATTAACATAAATACTTGGCCACGAGACACCACTCTTGCCACGGTTAGCGAGACCTCGACCAAGGTAGAACCGGTGCGACCGGTGGTCAGTGCTCGCCGATATTCAACCGATTCGCAATTTACCATTATCGTTGTTTTTTCGTATCAAAATCATTGTAAATAAATATATGTATCCAATATAGAAACCTTCAAAATTCCTGTAAAATAATATGAAACAACGAGCTAGAGCCACAGAAGTCTATACAGTAAGGAAAGAGAAGAAACTGAGTTGATGGTTATGACATTTTTCTTAACAGTCAGAAATATCGAGCAAAAAAAGAAAATAAAGCTCGTTGGTATTCATGCAAAAACTCTTTGATCAATCTATACAATCTTCAGTATGAACGACTCTTCCAACGAAACTGACAGATATTTTAAGTCTAAAAATTTGTATAAGATTCTAGTTCAGAATTTTCTAAAAAAAAAAAAACGGATTATAAAGTGGATTATTTCTAAAAAAAAAAAATTATAATAGTTTAACTTTTTAATTTTTTATAATTTTCTAATCTGAATGCACATTGCACTAATGTCGTACACGCTGAATTGTAAGAATTTTCATTTTAACAATAACCATTAGCGAAGTTTGTCAATCAGGTATCAAAACAAGCACAAATGGAAGTACACTGGTTGTTCAACCATTACTCGCACATACCTACAAAGTTCGATCTTAATCGTTGCATGGTGGAGCATTTCAAAGAGTAGTTAATCGGCACTTATGTTTCCACGTTAATGTTAGCAACTATTCGATAAAATCGGGGCGGAGTAATTGAGATTCGCTGTTCTTTTCTTGAGAATTTTCGCCAAATTTGGCAGCCGAATCGAAGTGAGGCTTTTACAACTCGGTGTGTCCACTTTGTTTGTCTCAGCTGCGGGCATTTGCGCGGCTCCTGTCCTGTCCTTCTAATTACATCCATGTTATTAGCTCGCGGGTGTTTCTTTTGATTTCACCTTTGTGGGAAAATCAATTCACTCACTCCTCTTGTGTTGATGACCCCTACATTCATTTTTTCTTTTTTTATTCTCTCCCTTCTCTCTCTTTGTTACCGTACCCCTCTCGTCTCCCTGTCCATCGATTTAGTGACCACTTCACTTTCTACACTAGTCTGTATTCTTGGAAATTACGCGATTATGTAACTGCGATAATACTTCAGATGTATTTTTGCTCAGAGGCAAAAATCATGGCGAAATACCTCTACCGTCCCTCAGCCGAGTGGCCACCATAAACAGAATAATATCAGCGCCACGTACAGATGTGATACCTGCATGTGCAGGCAACTATTGTAACTCTGCGGATACATTCTTGCCTATACGTTACGACGAAGGCGCGAAACACTTCTAACGCCTCTTATCATCAATTCTTCAAGCAGCCCTCAGTGGTTAATCCGGCGCTAATCCCCCCGTTCTCTTACACCTAGTAGGGAGGTAATATTTGCCTGAGACCATCAAACTTAAGTCAGCTGGCCACGAGTCGAACCCGGGACCTTCTGATCATAGGGCCAGCGCTACAACCACTACGATCCATTGGGAAACTGATTGTAACTGGTGGGCACGCAGCTATGTACATTCTTGCCTACGCGACTAAATGAAGGCGAAACGCTTGGAAATGCTTTGATTGCTAATAGGATTTTCTGTGCTACTGAAACTAACCTGGTATGTTTGTGTGTATGTTGCAGGTCACAAATCGGGAGTGGACTACCCCTCGCCGAACATCTCGGTGGGTCCGCCGATCCACCCCTCGCCGCACCTGTTCCCGTACTTGTACCCGCACAACCTGTACCAGGGGGCGGGCGGGGGGCACCCGCTGCTGAGCCCCGGGCCGCCGCTCTCCTCGCTCTTCTCCTCGGCGGCGGCGGCGGCGGCCCACCCGAGCCTCCTGTTCAACGCCCAGCTGGCCCTGGCCGCCCAGCACCCGGCCCTATTCAGCCACGCCGCCGCCGCCGCCTACGGCCTCTCGACGGCCCACCACCAGGCCACCGCCGCCCACCACCTCAAGGCCGCCAACAGCCACCGCTTCTCGCCGTACCCGCTCCCGCTCAGCCTCCCGCCCAGCACCCTCTCCTCCCTCTCGACCGGCTCGGCCTTCGAGACGGTGCAGCCCAAGTCCCGCGCCTCCTCCAGCCCGCCTCCAGTGCAATCCTCCAAACACAAGTCGGCCTCCTCCTCGCCGCTCTCTACCGCCTCCCTCCTCCACTCGCCCAAGTCCACCTCCGGCGACTCCACCCCCGCCACGGCCGCCGCCAACTCCAGCGAGCTCAAGAGCATCGAGAAGATGGTCAACGGCCTCGAGTCCAGGCGCACCCCCGATCTCTCCAACCCTAGTAAAATCAGCCAATCGGACAGCGCCGTCAAGTGAGACGAGCCCAGTAGGTAATTCACCCTCATCCCCCACAAATTGTTCACAAATTCCCAAGCTCAACTCCATCCTCACCGATCCAACGTAGAGCCCAACTTGTATTATTTACGTCACCGGACCTGCGCAAAGAAGAATCATAAAAACCTAGCCTAATACCAAAGAACAAAGGCTTTATTCTGCAGCCTTTTCCCTGGAAATTTCGAAATTCAATCAATATGTGGCTACTTTTTTCTATTTCTCGAATGTGTTTAACTCTGGAGCATACCTCCCCCTCCCCCAGAAAATCCAAACACTATGAGTGATGAGTGACATTCACTCCGTAAAAAGAGTTGATTCCCCTCCGCACTTGTGTCACTTATGTCATTTCCGCCGTAAGATTTGTGCCAAACTTCGGTATTTCTACCATCGTGCAATAAAGTATCCAATACACAGTTTTTCATGCGATAAGGAAGATTCACTTTTTTCTGCAGGTTCGGTTTCGTTCATAAGAAACGCTGATTGGCATTTCTCTGTGATGTTCAGAGCAAAATTATACAAAACAAAAAAAACGAGTGAAATATCCAGCAGAAACGGTGAACACGTTTCACTGTTTCTCTTTTTTTTTTCACTTCTCTTGCATTCTCCTTTATCGAGGAAAAATTTGCGGTAACTGTAGGTTTACAGCTGCGTTTCATTAATGATTGTGTTCCTATCGCTTTTTGCGTTTAAAATTATGATGAAGAGGTGAAAAACCGATGGAGCAAGTTTTAGATAAGTCTTTGCCCTCTAAAAGTTGTGAGAAAAAGTTCCTAAATAAATTTACTCGACTATTTGAGTAAATCAAGTTTGTGATTCGAAATTTTGTACGTGGCTTAAAAACCGTCGAGAACGATTAGTAAATGTCATCTTTTCACTTTACTGTACTATTTAGTTAAATTATAATTCCTCATCTCACGCGTGTAACATTATTCAAAACAAAGCCTTGAAAATTTCGGAAAATAAAGAACAGAGGCCCTTTCATAAAAAAATCATAAAAAACTTCCTAGACTGACCAATATAGAATCTGTTGATTATAACAGCAGATGATTAAAACAAATTTTTCAAAGAAGAACAGGAGACAGTAAACGTTAGGGTTTTGTCTAATTTTAGGAATGCAAAGTGAACACTCATAATTTAAGATATTTCAACCAAAATTTAATTAAGTATTTTATTTGGTGCTTCAAGCTCAATTTTCACACAAGTTGAGTTTTTATACATTTTGTACAGATGTATACTCAATACTTCACATGCTCTGAGGAGGTTAAATATCCATCTATGAATCTTGCGCTAAGAATGTAACAACGACGCAATGAGAAAAAAATTTACGTTCGTAAACCCGTGGGAAAGAAGGAACAAGTTTACATCAATTGGCCTCTGAAGCGCACCGAAAACACTATTCCGATTGATTTACATCGATTAAGCTCATAAAATATCAAACAGGTCCACCATAATGCTTCATCATCACTCGAACGTTCTGTGGTAGCTGGGATGATAGAGAGCCGTACGTGAGGGGAAATGAATGAAAGAAAGACGATAGAATTCATCCCTCCTCTGTGAACTTTGGAGGGCTGCTTCATCGTAATCATTCTGTCAACCGCCAGAGCGCAGCACCTTTTGGTTCACAATCACACCCCTCACCAATTCGCCGCTTAATCTGGATCTCTGTCTATATTCAGCTATTTTTATGCATCAGCCATATTTTTCTGTGTTAACGTTTTGTCATGGTTCCTCAACACTCGGCATTATGATTAAATTACGATGCATGGAAAGAAAAATCTTTGTACTGTTAATTATATGATGATGCACAAAATTTCGGTAAACTCTTCGTGTTCATTGTGCAATGCGCCAGTTGAATAGTCATACATAGTGAATCATCTTTCGAAAGTAACATCAATTGAGTTCTTTTTGTGCCTACTCTACAGGCAAAAATATTTCTAATTTTGGTTTGCATCGATTGCTATATGGCGCATATCTTTCCGTTCCTTGCGATCAAGCCCCTTTTCTTCTTTTAGCGCACTGGATAACCAATACATGAATTTACCGTCTTTGATGTACAATTGTAAGCCATTTTGATTTTCAATCCGCAATTTTTTTTTCATCACGAAACGATACATGACTACACGACGCGTCCTCAATGAGTTGATGAATCAATTTTCTCCAAGAATTTGCATTCTTTTGCGGTAGAACAATAACACGGGGACATGACATTCCGATCTTTAAATCTGACTCATTTGCCACGGTGCATACCGACAATCGAAGACATGTCGTTTCCACAACGCAATCTTTTCCGTGACAGCTGCGGCTCAACCCTTGGGCCTTAGCAGGAGAAAAGACGACGTTTTCCAGCAGGCTCAGTTATTTAAAAAACGCAAGCTTTAAAATGTCGTGTTTTATTGGCACCGTGACAAGGAGCGCATGCTCAATTAGCTGCTCTCCGGACTTATCTCCTCTATCTCTCTCTCGTATCTTCATCTCAAGGAGCTCAAATAGGAGTAAAAGGAGGTGGCAAAGTGCAATTTGTATTCTGTTTGTTTAAGCTACCCTTTCCTCCTCCAATAGCAGCACTGAATCTTCCGAAGGTCATACGAGTTTACTCTTGCAAAACATCCACACATTTCAAGAAAAATAATCGGAATGAGTGACTTGAAAAGCTTGTAAAGATTTTTCATTTTATTTCCTTAAAATGGGTAACATATCGCCGTACTGCAAGATTTTTTCGGTTCCCAATTATTACTCGATTTTCACTTTGCGAGGAGAAAATATTCTAAAAATACCAAAGAATATATGAATGGTGTACTTTTCATACTTTTTGGTGCCGAACATTGTAAAACGTAATTTATTTTAGTTGTATGTTTATTTATTGGTTAATTCTTTTACCTTATTTTGCACTTGACGACTAACGAAAAAAATGCATGTAAAGTAACAGATACGACTGATATTTATTTTAATGTAAGCCGGAATCTCTCCCAAGAAAGAGGAGGGAAATAATAGTGCAAAACGTCACAATCCTTGTCAGTAATCGACAAAATATACAACGTGTACATCCCTATCATTGATGTCGATTTGTCATAAGCTGGTCAGGGCTAACTTGTTGCCATTTTTCCCAAAAGATCTCAATTTGTCCTTGTTACGTCACACTTTAAAACAATAACTGTTCTCGCCAATTTTCACGGCGATGGAAAACAAATATTGAAATTTCTCCGAAATTTTACCTTGAGATGTTGAAATTGCCTGACAATGTCTTCAAAAGATGTAGAGAGTTGGTTGAGGAACTGCTGGTTAGCTCAGTTCAAATGGACTTGTTTGAATGTAATTCGTGCAAGTAAATTGAGTGGGCCTTATTGTCTTTCCTATACATTTGGACTACATTTTACAATTTGGAACTATAAATACTAGCCAGGTTTAAAAACAACGTATGTGCCATCAGTTTCCCTACGCACATAAGTGTTTTTCCAGAAGAGGCAGGATTTGTAGTTCCATATTGCAAAATGCGGTCCATTTGGCCCGCGCTTTTGATTAGTACAAAGATCTCAATTAATATTGGAAATGAAATGTTTTAGAATTCATTGAAACTGCTTGAGAATGGATTTATTTTATCTTCTTTTTCATTTATTCGTTTCTCCCTGTCTATGATATTGCTTCTTCTGAAATACAAAAAATGAATTTCAACTTTCACTGAAGAGAACGCGGATTTTTTCCTCTAAACATCGTCTGTAAATAACTTTGATGCAATAATCGATGTTCAGAACGTGTTTCATACAATTTGCAAGGATTTTTTCCTCAAATTTTCAAGCACCGTACATTTCATAAAAGCGAATCAAAACTAAATGACAGGAGAAAGAATAATCGATAAATTTGTGGTTTGGTGCTACTGAAGACTATAATAATTATGGCCTCTGGTAGTTGTTCTCCATGCCTCTTTTCCATTCTTGAGACAGAATCAAGACATGCAACCTGTACTAGTTGTTGTTGAGAGATTGTTTTTGTAAATGAAAGTCTGTAACTGTATCAAAATTGTTCCATAAAAATTACTTGTAGTGTAAAGAAAAACTGTGGATGTTAAATGTAATTGAAAATGTACAGACTGTAAATATTACTTGAAAGTTAGGCATCATCCAATCTGTGTAACATAGTGTAACTGTAATATATGAATTCCTTTTCCTCTTAATTACGCCTAATTTTTGTGTTTTCCTTGTGTTAATGTGGAGCATTCGAGGAAAGTATAATACTAGTCCAAAAATAACTGAATGAAATTGTGTAACAAAACATGATTAGTCTAATATAAATATTATATAAATATATTTATTTATAAATAAATATAATTAATAAAATCAATTCATTTTTTTAAAAAATCTGCATCTTTCGTTTTTCATACCTGACCCGTTGTTCATTCATTCTTAGAGGTCGAGCATTTAAGCTAAAACGTTAACTTTTTAATAACAAATATATTAAAAAGTTTTAATTTTTCAAGAGAACTATTATCACCAAAAAGCACTTACCCAAGCAGCATTCTTCAACGGAAAAATCGCAATATTTTGAAATCAATTCCGAATTTCTTTGCTACTTTTTGGTGATAAAACTTCTAGGATCATCAAGATCCGAGCGATTATCCTCAATCTTGTTGAAATTTTATCTCTATTAAATCCTGGTGGATAAAATTGAAATTTTACATAAATTTATCACGATTTTTTGTTCACTAATATTGCAATAAACCGCCGTCGATAAAATTGCGATTTCTTTTCAAATTAATGGGATGAAATCGCAATTTTTTATCCGATGATATTGCAATAAATTGACGTCAATAAAATCGCGATACATTCTCCAATCAAATCGCAACTCATCGAGGTCACTTTTACTTCAGAAATGGCAACAGACTTGAAATTAGACACAGAATGAAGCTCCACGCTGTCAATGGCCGTCTTGGGGGTTCTCTCGCAGAATATGCCCACCATCAATCTCTGATTTCGACTTCGACTAGGTATAGAACAATTTAGTGACTACGTAGTGCGTCATTACACTGAAAAAAAAGTATGGTGACATTTACTATGAGTCTACTTGATTTTTTACACAGTGATACTATTTAGTGGAAATAACCAGAATTATAGTAGTATTCGCCAGAACTCTGGTGATTCTTACCATAGTATGGTAAATGCCACCATAGAGTCTGGTGTTTATTACCATATTCGTATCACTGTGTCAGAGATGGTAAAATCTACCGGCATATTTTTTTCAGTGTAGACAGATCGAACTATCGATGTTTCAGTGATCATAAAAAAAAAAAAAAAAAAAAAAAAAAAAAAAACCTATCCATGCGGAAAATGTGGAATTAACTTCTCTTAAGAAAATATTTAAATGTCTTTTACTTCAATTAATGAAATTTAAGAAATGTTTGAGTTCTATTCTCGGAAGAAAGTCTCATCACCAGGGGGGCATTTTCCTTCAGGTCAGGACAGGTGGAGAATCTCGTGGGTTGGACATGTAAAGATTATCAAAACTAGAATATTTTTGAGAATGAAACAACCCGAAAAGAACGCAAACTAAAACAGGAGATTAGATTAAAGAACGTCATAATTTAATTAAAGGACGAGAAACACATCTCAATCAAACATTTGGGCGCGACAACCATTGCGTGGTATGCGAGCACAGCAAAGTGGTATTTTTCGTTTTGGTTGGAACCATTGAACGACCGATAGTAATCCGTCTATTTTAATCTAAATTTATTCTCGAACAGCGTGTATGTGACGGAAGTTATCAAATAAAAACCTTTCGAGAACGCATTCCAAAGCGATGCATTGAAAAAAATAGTGTATTTTCTTCGGAAAATACACTAAAAAAAAAATTAGTTAACGTAAAGACACGTGGATCAAGAACAATAGCTAAGTTTAAAGGATTTAAAGATTGTTTCTTACGCGTGGTTTAAAGACTTTCTCAGTTTTAAATTTTGAAGTGATTAATTTGGTTTCAGCGGTAACACGGTCACTAACTGAAAAAAATTTCTGAGAGAAGTGTCGGCGGCTGCTGTATTAGAGCATCCAACGTTATCTAGTGGAGCAAATTCCACAATAAAAATCGATGAAAATTTTTTTTCAAAGTGAATTATACTTAAATAATGTTCTGAACAGTGCCCGAACAGAGTGTTCTTAGTGGCGTGTACCTTGAAATGCGCGATTGATGTTTGTATGCAGTGCCATATCGCAACAGGGAAATGCCAGAAAATAAATTAAAAGGTTAGTAATTTTATTCATTACTATATGGACCGCGTTTAGCAGTAAGGCACCAAGCCACATAAGCTACTGACGAATTTATGTAGGCAATTTAATTTATTTACAAAGAGAACATGTATGCGGATTCCTTTGAAAATGTAGGAAATTTGCCTCGTACTGTGCTGAAAATTTACTGAAGTTTGCACAATAATAGTCTGCACAATCGTCTCTATGCATAAAATAAAATTACCCAATTTAATTTGGCAGAGGCTGATGTGGCTTGGTTTCTTTTGTGCTTAACGCGGTCCATATTTTCAACTCATCTAAACGCAGTCAGTTTATTCCTGGAAGTTTCAAACTGAAGATTTTTCTCAAGCGTTCTGGTGACGGTTGCTCTCAAGACATTTGTCATTCAACTCTTTTAATTCAGCAGAATTGATAAGCACTTTGCGAAACATATAGCTCGACCGACAACTAGGAGATAAGTTGAATGTAATCCCTGGGAAGAATGTTAAATCCCCAAAGTTAAATTTTCAGCGATGTTAAAAATTTAAGGGCAGGGAATATTCAGCTTCCATTAATATCTAGATAGCTTCTACATCTACATGCTTGAAACTGCAATTCGAGTGCTGCAAAAATTACTGTCGTCACGATTTTATACTATCAAGCACTCTGAAATGCATTAGAAATGTGTATTACAAAGGCTCATGATCGCATATTCATGTTACCCATTTGAAAAAAAAAAAAAAAAGAGTTTGGAACTGTTATGACTCTGAGGCTAAGTTTTGCCTAAACGATGAAATGAAGAAGATCTAGCTTTCTCGAAGAGTTATTTATGAATTGTGATTGAATGGATATGAGTGCTTCTTTCAATGCACATCTGGAAATTTTCACTTCCATGAGGTGTCTTTTATCCATTACATTCATAAGTTATTCATGAATTCCAGTTTTGCTTGCGGGATTGAAAAAGGATTCTTATGATACGAATTTAGCGCGCAATAGCGATGGTGCAGTGTTTAAGAGCCATACTGTTTTTTTATTTTAGTTTGTGCTTAAAATCCCAAAAGGTCAACTTTCCCGACATTGCTAGGTTTCTAGAGAAGGGTATTTATTTGGACCAGTCAATGCTAAAATCTTACAAATTTAAAATGTTGAACAATGAGCTCTTTGCGACAAATTCTTCCTTGAGAAGATTTTTATCATAAGAATTGCATTTTGCAAAAAGAAATTAAGAGCATTCAAATGTTGCTGGGACAGTGCAACTTACATTCTTTGCAATTACATTACTGAAATCATGCAAAAAATTAAATATACCAAGGTACTTTTCGTCATGAATTTCTATTTGTAAAGATAAAACTTGTTTAGATGATCAGTTTCCATTTGCAAGGTAAGAATGGTTGCACAATCTTTACGACACTGGAATGACCTTGGTTCCTCTCTGCAAAATGCAATCCATATGTGTGTCACAAGAGGAATCCCGAAAAATTGAGGGTTTTTTAAAAGGAAATTTACCTTTCCAGGTCATTCGGTGCATAACCCAGTACGTTCAAAATTCAATTTTCTCGGAAATTCGATGCATAGCAATTAGGATTTTGGTCGTCATGACGCATTGCACACATTCCAGAGCAGAGTTTCGCAGAAAAAGAGGCACTTTCTTCGTCCAATAAAAAAAAATACAAATTATTATTTCCGTTTGATCAAGTTTTAATTTAAGTAATGCTTTTGATTTTAATTAAATGCATGGACTTTATCTCTTCATTACTGACCCAGAAAGTAATATTCCCTGCTTTTTTTTGCAATTTTAACGATTTGATCCCCATCACCTGAGTATTGAAAGAGCTAAATCAATTCAGAGAATGGAAATAACTTCATATTGATGTTCATTGAGTTCTTTCGAGCAACTGTGAGCATATACCTCTCGTTAGTCAACTATGTGCCTCTTTTCTGTTAAAGTCGATTCATATGACCTTACCGAGTTTAATCTAAAAATTTGTTTAGTAAGTAAACGGGTTTCTGATCCCTCGTAAACTTTGATTCTTTGACTTTTCAGCTTACAACATTGACAGAGAATCGCATTTCGCAGCCCGCATGGCGCACGACCCGCCTTCCATTGCTACACTTCATCTAGCGTTGCGAGTTCACTAATAACTTAACACGCGATCAGTATGTAATTTTATAAGTCAAAAATTTTTTTTAAAAAAAAAAAACTTAAAAAAAGAAGGAAAAACCATTTACACGATACACGAGTTTCTCCCCGCAAGAAATCGTTCCCCACCCGCCCGCCGGGAGAGCCGCGGCGTGCCGTGAACTTGCCCACAATTAATAGGTCAGGGTGTTAGAATGTAGGCAATTTGACATCAAATTCGAAATTAGCGACTCAAGAAACATCAGTTACGAAACTTTCGTGATCTTTCAGTCTTCCAGTCATTATCCGACTTATTTCTTCCTATTCTATATTCGGATCATTGTGTCGAATCATGGTTAAATCTACCATACTTTTTTCTGTGTCCTCTTTTGGCGAATTTTATTTGACTTTTTGGTCTATAAGTTGTTCATCGATCAACGCACAGTGGACCAAGTCAATCAGATAGATCGGACATGAAATTTTTTACTAAAATTGGAAATTTTGATGTATACTTCGTCACATTTTAAATAGTAAGGGGTGCACCTAGGAGGAACTTTTGCAAGAAAGCCGATAAAACTACTTTTAGAACTTCAAAGGTATATATAAACGGAGTTATGAGCTTTTAAAGTTTCCCAATTTTGTCCGACCTTTCCCATTGACTCGATCCACTGCGCAACGTGAAGAAAAAAGTATCGTTCATTTTCAAATTTAGTCTTTGCCTCCAACTCTTGCATTAGTGCTTATATTGTTAAAACAGGGTCTTTATCCCTGAACGTCCCCGCTACAGGGACCCCAGCCGACGATGCAATTGTGACAAGGTTCCCTGGATAGAGAGAAGAT